TTTTTTGAACATTAAAGCATGTCAACATATTCTGTTACACCAAATACACAAAATAATGATCTTTAAAAAAGCATCATATGACCCCTTTAAAGTAAAGATTCAAGGTAAATTAAGTTGTTATATTACATAACATTTTATTATGATATATATTGAATTAGGTAAAGTTTTTCAGTTTCATTTTGTCCATTGCATTTCAGTATGTTACACTGCGTTATGTTTTGTAGGATAGCATAATATATCATTATAGAATCAGAAAAGATATGAAAATCGCGTAGCATAATGCAAATTTTCACAGTAAGAAAGGGAATAACTTTTTTTTTTTTCCGAATCTTTGCAAATCGCCTTTCCTAATAATGTGCTAATTAGCAAGTTTCACGATGAACAGTCCCTAAAGTAAACAGTCCCTCAGAGAGCAGCTTGGAAGAGAGGGGCGGGGTCAGCAGAGCTCATTAACATTTAAAGGAAAATGCGTGCTCTGAAAAGAGCTGTTTTTGACAGGGTAAAAGAGGTGTTTTTTACACCACAATTGAGAAATTTTAACCAAACTATGTTACAGACTTTATATCAACTTGTGGGAAATGGGCATCCTATGACCCCTTTAAGCTAACTGAGACTTGTTATAGCATTTGCATGTCATTGCTCTTTTGTTGATTTTGATTGCTTCCATTGTCCTCATTTGTAAGTCGCTTTGGATAAAAGTGTCTGCTAAATGACTAAATGTAAACGTAATGTAAATGAATAAAATAACATGAATACACGGATTACCCATGTTCAGGGTTAATGAGGTGTCCATAGTGCTGAACTGCTGCAGCTTTGCTTGCATTAGGCTTCCTCGACCTCGCAGCACCGGCATGGTCTGAGACTTCCTGTCAGATGAGAAGAGTTTCGACACCCAGGGTTCCTGGCTTCTAAACAACACACACAAACAAAGCAATGCTAATCTTAATACCACTGCTTATTTGAAAGCACAGGGGGGTAATGAAATGTAAAGATCTGGCTTTGATGACACGATAGCACGATAGTTGTGGTTCATGTAAATATGAGTGATCTGAATGTGGTTAATTCTCAAACGGAAACATGTTGTCGTTGTTGAGTCCCTATCAGGCATACCGGCTGATGTTTCGCTTGCCCACATAACGGAACTGGACTATGCAGATCCTACAGACAGAGAAGAATGAAAATTAGCATATTATTCAATATAAAGCCAGACAGTGATTAAACAGAGGGTCATGGGAGTCATGATTTACTTTCTGGCAACAAACTTTTATATTTTCAACCACTTTTCAGGGCCGAAAATCCAGATTAAGACCTGAAACTTTCCACAAGTATGCAGTTGCTTCCAGCTACACGAGCTGGATTTCACATTTTGTCAGAAAGCGATTTATAAAGCAACACAGCTGTGTACACTGCATTCTCAGTGACAACATTTAAAAAAAAATAATACTTTTATTCAGCAAATATTCATTAAATTGTTTTGAAGGGAAAGCAAAGACTTTTACATTGTTACATTGTTTTCCATATATATATTTGAAATAAATGCTGTTCTTTTAAACTTTAAACTGTTCGGTCACACTTTATTTTAAGGTCCAATTCTTGCTATTAATTAACTATTAACTACGACTTTTGCCTCAAAATCCTTATTACTGCTTATAAATAGTTAGTAAGGTAGTGAAGTACTAAACATTACAGTAGCTACTAAACATGCTGCCGACTGTCATTAAAGGGATAGTTCACCCCAAAAAATGTATTTCTGTCATTATTTACTCACTCACAATTATTAATTTCTTTCTTGTGCTGAACACAAAAGAAGATATTTTGAAGAATGTGAGTAACCAAACAGTAGCTGGTCCACACTGTTTTTTTCAGTAGGAAAAAAATACCATGGAAGTCACTGTGGACCAGCAACTGCTTGGTTACCCACATTCTTCAAAAATAACTTTTATGTTCAACAGACGAAATAAACTAATTCAGGTTTAAAACAACATGAGTAAATGATGGTATAAAATTTAAACACTATGACAGAATTGAAAGACAGATGACAGAATTTTCATTTTTTGTGAACTATTCTTTTAATGTTAATAAAACAACAAACCACAGAAAAAAAAATCACTCACTGCTCTTGACTGATGAACTTATCATCAGTCAGTTGCTTTAAAAAAAAAAGTATAATTGATGTACATAGTGTATATAGTGTTTCATTTTAATATTTGTTCATTCAATTTCTTGAATGTTACTGCTAAATACTGTAGGCCTACCTGAAAAATAAAGCACTGTTTGTTTTATTTGTATATTATGTGTATTTGTAATGTATATCTTTGTTCTTATTTTCTAATAACAAAGATAAAATAATGACAAAGATTTTTATCTTTGCTCACTTTGGCCTAAATGTCTGCCATTCTTTTTTATTTTATATTTGGTTAAGGTGTAAGAGGTGTTATGTTTCTGTACTCTTCCATTTTTAGCAAATGAAGAAAACGTTGTCTAAAAACAATTTTTGTGATGGTTTGTATTTTTTGTGCTCTGTATGGAACATCAGTGCCTGTTTAAGTGATGAACTCCATTACTTGTGTTTGTTTTCAGACATGATAACAGACGTTTTATACTTGTGCTACAACTTTTTGGCCTGTGCTACAAAACTTTCAACCTCTGTAGCACCAGTGCTATGTGAAAAAAAAGTTAACGTACAGCCCTGGCGATGCACAATATTATCAGAACGTTAACAGAATCGGCCAATAAAGGCTTAAAATGTAAACATCGACATCGGCCGATTTGAAAAAATATACCGATATGCCTTGCCGAGGTGGCCATTCGTCCTCCATGGCTCCTCCCTCCGTCGGCTCCACCGTGGGCCACCATCATGGCTGTGGCCTGGGTCCTGCTTGGCTCCTCCCACTCCAAGTCCTTTCTGTCGCCTCCCTGGTGATATGGTGTAGCATAATGACTGTGGGCTATCCAGGCTACTAACAATATAGCTTATAATTGGCAAAGTGAAGGCTCAAGACAATGCAAGAAAGGATGACAGCCAGAATCACAAACGATCCAAGTCTGTTAAAAGTATGGTAGAGGTAAAGTGATTATCTGGCAATATCTGTGAATAGCTTGGGTCTATTCATATTAGACACAACAGGACTATATGTAAACTCTAATGCCATGACAAGATGTGCATACATCCATCTCGCGCATGTACAGTCTTCTGTCGGACCTCGAGCACAGAGGCCGAAATCATGCCACGTTTCCACTGTCAGGCCAGTAGCCTCGCGGCACTCCTGCAAAACCCGCCCTAAACACGCCTTCACTGGACTACGTCACACAATACAAAGTTCCACCAGCGAGAGGGAGATGAATGAAATAAATCGCTAAACAAATATATCAGACGCTGTCGTTTAGTCTTTATTTACAAACTTGGACACCACACGCAGCTATTGACTGACCACGAACAGGAAATAGAACTTGCTTGCGACATTTTTGATTTGTTAATGTCTCGCGGTCTTGCTGTGTTTTTTTTTTTTTTTTGAACAATTAAATTTTGGGTTAAAGTGTGTTGTAACGCAAGCGTTACTAAACATTTACCGAATAAAATATTACTGAAAATTGATTAGTAATGCCTTACACTACTGTGTTACAGCAAAAAGTAATCCGTTACTGTAATGCATTAC